GGCACACACCACCACTTAGCTAGCTAGCTAGCTAGGCAGCTAGCTAGCCAGGCAGGTAGCTAGCCAGTTAGCTATGCAGGGCGGGTAGGGCCAGACAGAGCGAGAGGGTTGCTCAGCTTAGGGGGGAACAATGCAGCTAGCCAACAACTAGCTAGCAGCTAGCCAACAGCTAGCTAGCAGCTAGCCAACAGCTAGCTAGCAGCTAGCCAACAGCTAGCTAGCAGCTAGCTAGCAGCTAGCTAGGAGGTAGCCAGCTGCAATGCCACGCTAGCTAGCTACTGAGGTACAGAGGGCGAGACAGCTAGCTGTACAATTAGCTGTACGGGCACAAAGGCGTTAGCTAGCTAGCTAGCTAGCTACCTAGCTAGCTATCTAGATAGCTAGCTAGGTAGACATAGAACCCAAATCAGCGGTCTATACAGACGGCCGGCCGCATGCATTGTATGCGACTCCTTCGCCAGACAGCAGCTACTTCCCCATCTAGCTAGCTAGCTAGCTACCCAGCTAGCCAGCCACGCAGCCAGCTAGACAGCCACGCAGCCAGCTAGCTAGCTAGCTAGCTAGCTAGGTAGCTAGCTGGTAATTAAGCAACAAGCATATCATCATCTTCATCAGCACATATCTGCCCAACATCAAATCGCGGCCTCCTCGCGCCCGCCAACCACTCAGCACGAGCAGAAGGGCGTAATTGATTCCTTGCACCCTGTAAACCCTCATAAACCCTAAACCCTAAACCCTAAACCCTAAACCCTAAACCCTAAAAGAAATGAAAAAAACTAAAATCCCAAAAAACAAAAGAATAATCCATAATACCCTAAACCCTAAAAAAAAACCCTAAACCCTAAACCCTAAACCCTAAACCCTTGTTGTGTGTATAGAATAAATTACCTGTACAACCCTTGTACATCCTTCTGTAAACCCTAATAAGGGTCTAAGGAAAATAGCAGGTAATAATCTTCCTGCTACCTGTACTGCCTCTATCCTCCTAGGGTTTGGTGTATACAGACGTAAGCAAACCCTTTTTGCTGACGTAAACCCTCGGGATAAACAACGATATGCATCCCCTATTCCTGCTGCTACACCCTCAGGCTGCAGCATAATAAATAAATAAATAAATAAATAAATAAATAAATAAATATAATAAATAGTAGTAATAAATATATAGCAATAATAATAATAATAAATAATGCAACAGAAGCAACAGAAGCAACAGAAGCAGCAACAAACCAATAACAGGATAAACAACAACAGCAGCAGCAGCAGCAACAACACCAACAACAACAGCAGCAGCAGCAGAAGCAATACCTCATAGAATCCTTCTGCTCCTAGATGTACAACAGCCCATTCACTTCCTCCTTGTTGATTTGTTGATCCCCAACTATAACTACCCTCAGCAGACGATACCTCGTCACCTGCATAGAGCAGCAGCAGCAGCAGCAACAACAACAACACATTAAGCTCCTGATGCTGCTGTTGCTGTTGCTGATTATGCTGCTGGTGTAGTGGCAGCATTGATGACGTGGTCGCAGCAGCAGAACAAGTTGCAGCAGCAGCAAGAGAAGCACAAACAGCAACAGCAGCAAGAATAGCAGCAGACGCAGCAGCAGCAGCAGCAGGATATTGGTGGCAGTATATCCTTACCAGAGGCACGAGAAGTTGATGGTCTCTGCAGCATACGTCTGCTACCTTGTGTGCTGCCATGACGTCTGTGTCTGCTGCTCCTGCTGCTGCTAGGTTGCTGCTGGTGCAGCAGCAGCAGCACGTCGCTGCCTCTGCTGCTGCGGGAACGGAAAGTAGCAGAAGGATAAGGGGGGCAGCTTCCTGGTGTATAGGCACGATCAAGTAAATACAGCAGAGTATGTACACCCCGTAGAGCTCGCTCAGAGAGACACCTGCAGCAGCAACAGCAACAGCAACAGCAACAGCAGCAGCAGCAGATGCAGCAGATGCAGCACAAATAGTTTATACGCACATATGCAGATATGAAGACACAACACAAATACCGTGAAGACACCACTGGCAGCAGCAGCAGCAATAGCAGCAGCAGCAGCAACAGCAACCGATGACACATGTGCTACGATAAGTTACAGCAGCAGCAAGGACACCAGCAGAAGCAGCAGCAGCAGCAACAACAGCAGCAGCAATAGAAAAAAGAAATACTACAGTAATAAAAGCAGCAGCACGAACAGCAGCAGAACACCTGCAACATAAGCAACACGAGCATGAAAATAAACAGCAGCAGCAGCAACAGCAGCAACAGCAGCAACAACAGCAATAAACAGCAGCAGCAGCAGCAGCAGCAGCACCAGCCAGGGGGGGCCCACGGCTGACTGCCCCCCAACAGCGCAACCCACAGGCCCTCAAATCCGAAGTTTGCTGCTGCAGCAGCAACATTCTTGAGCAGCAGCAGCGCGAGCTCGGGGGCATCTAGGGAAGAAATTATATGCTGCACTGCAGCAGCAACACGTTGACTGGTTGGTGCCCCTGGGGGGCCCCCAAATGGTACACCAAGGGGGCCCCCACGGGGGCCCCTACGCCTCTTAAATATACGCTGCAGCCAACTACGTAGCTTCCTCCCTCCCTTAAGAAGACAACTAAGAGGAGGCACACTCTCAATACACCGCAGCATTATAGCTCTGCAGCAGCAACAGCAGCAGCAGCAGAAGCAGCAGCAGAAGCAGCAGCAGACGCAGCAGCAAGGGACACACAGAAAAGGAATAGATATTAATTCTCCTAATTAGCCAAAGGGCACTACAGTAGATCAAAACATCCTACTGCTGCTGCTGTTGCTGTTGCTGCTTCTGCTGTTGCTGTTGCTGCTTCTGCTGTTGCTGTTGCTGTTGCTGTTGCTGTTGCTGCTTCTGCTGCAGCACGTACCTGCTAAGACAGGCCAGCCAATGAGCAGCAAATTTATTGAATAAACTGCTGAAGGAAGAGACGTCACAAAGGACTTGAGGAGGGACAGCCATCTCTATACCTTCAAACCTGAACAAAACCCTAAACCCTAAACCCTAAACCCTAAACCCTTATCCCTATACCCTAAACCCTAAAAACATATAAACAATAGGAAGATGTAAACAATCCAAGAAAGAAACAAAACAAAGGAAACAAAATAAATACAAGGAAGGACATGAGGCAAACAGTAAAAAGGAAGGAAAGGAAAGAAAAGAACAAAGAACAAAGAAATAAGAAAAGAGCGGAGAGAAATGGCTATATATGCAAAAGATATATATAGATACAAATATAAATATATATAAATATAAGTATATAAATATAAATAAATAAATATAAATAAACAAATAATAATAAATAAATAAGAATAAATAAATAAATACCTGCAGCAAGAAGCAAAAAGAGTAATAAATTCCTTAACATCTCCTCTTGTTATTGCATTAGGGTTTAGGGTTTTAGCAGCAAAATTTAATTTAATTAAAACCCCAGAAACCCTAAAAGATCTAAAAAACACTAAATTAGGGTTTACGTTATTATATAAACCCTCATCTTTTTTTCCTTTATTGATATTAGTAGGGGGCCCCCCTCCTCTAGGGGTACTTAATAATGCAAATGATGGAGGGGCCCCCCCCATTGTACGTGTTGCACCCTCATTGCTACAACAGCAACAGCTGCTGCTGCTGCATCTGCTGCAACGGCTGTAGCGGCTGCTGCAACAACTGCAACGGCTGCTGCTGTTGCTGCAGTAATGACGATCCCATGGCATCCTTGCAGGGGCCCCCAAACAAAAGGGTACTGCTGCTGCTGCTGGTGGCTCCCATGCAAAGTTACCAGGGGTCCCTCCTCTCCTCCTCCTCGACCGATGAATCTGATGCTGCTGCTGGTGCTGCTGTTGCTGCTGCAGGTGCTGCCGGTGGTGGTGGTGATGATGATGGGGCCTATATTGCTGCTGCTGCTGCTGATTATGTACATGCATGCGCTGCTGCCGTCTAAAGAATTGTCTATCTCTAAGGGAGGGTGCCCCACCTGTTCTTGAGGATTGTGGTGGCCTTCTGCTGCTGCTGCATCCTACAGCAGCAACACCAGATGGAGCAACAGATCCCGATCCAGCAACAGGAGCACCAGCTGCTGCTGCTGCAGCATCATCTGCATGCGGCAGCAACCCATCCTCCAGCAACAGCAAAGAAGGCTGCAACTCTACTGCTCCTGCTAATAATGTTTGTTGTACAAAAGATAAAAAAGCATCTAATGTAAATTGATCTAAAGAAATAGCAAATGGTAATACTGTTATATCCACCTCATATTCCAATTGTTGCTGCTGTTGCTGCTGTTGCTGCTGTTGCTGCTGTTGCTGCTGAACCTGTTTCTTCTGCTGTTGTTGCACCTTATAATACGGAACCTCATGCTGCATCTGTACCTGTTGTTGCTGTTGTTGTTGTTGTTGTTGTTGTTGTTGCTGCTGCTGCTGCTGCATATGTACCTGTCCCTGTGCCTTCTTCCCCATGTATTGTATCTGTTGGTGCATCTGTTGAACCTGTTGAACCTGTTGAACGTACTGTTGCTGTTGCTGATTATTATGAATATTATTATAATAAATATTATTATTATTATTATTATTATTATTATTATTATTATTATTAATTATAGGTAAATTAAATTGAGTAATTAAGAATCTAATCATATTTGAATTAGATGGTCTTGGTCTATGAATTTCATCTTGATGATATTTCAGAAAAAAATTAAAAGATGAATTTTCTACTAAGTCATTAATAATAATATCTTTTATAGATATACCAATAAAATTATATAAATTACTATTTATATTATTTATTTTATTCTTATTATTATTATTATTATTATTATTATTATTATTATTATTATTATTATTATTATTATTATTATTATTATTCATTTCTATATAATTCATTCTATTCCTTTTCTTATTTTTTTTATTCGTTGTCCTTGTGCTGATGTTGTTGTTGTTGTTGTTGTTGTTCTTTTTGTTGTTGTTGTTGCTGTTGTTGTTGTTGTTGTTGTTGATGTTGATGTTGTTGTTGTTGTTGTTGTTGTTGTTGTTGTTGCTGTTATTGTTGTTATTGTTGTTGTTGTTGTTGTTGTTGGTGGTGTTGTTGTTGTTGTTGTTCTTGTTCGTAGCTATTATTGCACTTGTATTACTTAGACATAAACGTAATAAATCTGCTCTATTACAATCTAATATATTCATAGATCCATAAGAAAAATGAGGATATTGGCATAAAGATAAGGAAGCTTCTCTTATCTCTATTTGTATTAAGGGTCCCCATACTATTTGCTCCTCAATACCGGTCTCAGGATCTTCATAACGACCTCTCTGCTGCAGTACAGTACCCCAGGGGCCCCCCCATTGGGGGGCCCCTCCCACTGGAGATGGTGTCCCAACAGGCGCGGCACCACACAGGGGGGCCCCCAACGGAGGACCCTCTATCTCCGCTGTACAACCAAAGGGAAGACTCCATAGGGTATCTTCGTTGCCACTGCTTAGGAACGAAGCAGAAGAATCAAAGAAATAAGGAGGACCCAAGAGAGAAGCAGCAGCAGAAGATACTCCTGCTGCTGCTGCTGCACCAGAAGAAGCAGCAGGTGGTGGCTTAAAGTAATCCTCCGTTGTCACCGATACACCCATACGTACACCGCTGCTGCTGCTGCTGCTGCTAGTTTGCGTCCCGTCCTCGTCTGGTTGGTTCTGCAGCAGGGGCGCAGAAGCAGCAGCAGAGGAAGGCTCCGACGGGCCCCCCTGGGGCCCCTCCTCTCTGTCTTGTTTAAAGAGTGCTGCAACATGCTGTCTTGCTGCTGCTTCTATATCTTGCATTTCTCTTATTGCTGCTGCTGTACAAGACACGGGGGCCCTGCTGCTGCGGCGAGGTGCGTATACACCTAAAGGATCATCTCCTTCTGCTGCTTCCCATGAGGACTCGGAGTCGTCGCTATCCACTGCATGCCCTGCTGCTGCTGCTGTTGTTGCTGCAGCAGCAGCAGCAGCAGCTACTGCTGATGCTGCTGCCGATGCAGATTTCAGCGCCTCCTTTAATCTCGCTGCACCACCGGGAGCCGCTGCTTTGTTTGTTGCTGCTGCTGCTGCTGCTGCTGCTGCTGCGCCAACAGCAGCAGGTGTAGCAGTATCGTTGTCACTCATGGAAGAGGAGCTGGACTGCGTGAGCGTCTCCGCAGGAGAAAGATCATCTGCTTCTGCTGCTGCTGCTGCTGCAGCTGCGGCTGCTGATACAGAGGGGGTTGCTGAAGTCGAAATAAAGGCGGGGAGGGCAACAGCAGGGTACAGATCAGAAACGGGGGCCCCTGGGGGCCCCTCTGCGGTTGTCCGCTTGCTGTTTCCTTGTTCAAAGAGAAAGGCGCTAAAATCTACACCATCCAGCACATTTGTTTGCTGCTGCTGCTGCTGCTGCTGCTGTTGCTGCTGCTGCTGCTCATCGTTATGCCGTTTTAGAATTCCCTTCGACTGTCTCTCCCGAAATATCTCGTCATGCATAGATGCTGCTGCTACCTCATCTGCATGCATTGCAGCTGCTGCTGATGCTTCTGATGCAGGAACAGCACATGCAGGAACAGGCGGCGGAATGTCAGCAGCAGCAGCAGCCGCTGCTGCTGCTTGCTGCAGTCGCCCCCATGCATCCACTAGTCCCTTAACAGTAGCAGGGGCCTCTTGCCTTAAGAGGAGACACTGCAGGTCAAGAGACAGCAGCAGCAGACACCGCAGACTGTCGGGCGAGACGGAAGCAGCAACTTCCCCACACCGCAGCAGCCCCCTAAGCGGTCCTGGTGCCGTCCTGCTGCTGCCAGCTGCTGCTGCTGTTGCTGCTGCAGGAAGATGCAGAGAACAAAACAGATCGTCAGCAAACAACCAACGCACCAAACCACAACGGGGCAGCAGCGGTGCTGCTGCGTCTGCCCTAAAGACAAGAGCAGGCAATGGGGCCTTGTGACTTGCTGCTGCTGCTGCTGCTGCTGCTGCTGCAGATGTTGTGGCTGTCCGACACCCGTCGTTCAGGCAGCTCGTGACTCTGTGGTCGCCTCGCCATGCGTTGCTGCAGTTGCAGCTGCTTCTGCAGCCTCCGCAGCTGCAGCAGCAAAAGCAACCTGCTGCAGCAGCATGGGCCTCCCATGGGGCCCCAGCAGCAAGAAAGGGTCTACGAATTAGAGGAGAAGGCAAAGGAAAGAGAGAAAGCTGCTGCAGACACACGTCATCATCTGCTGCTGCAGCACAGCGACACAGCCGCGTCCCTTCGTCCAATAGATATAACTCTAAAGAACTGCAGTGAAACCCTATGTGCAGCCCTGCTGCTGCTGCTGCTGCAGCTGCTGCTGCCGCTGCAGCTGCAACTGCTGCAGATGCTGCAGCTGCAGCTGCTGTTCCGCCTGCTGCTCCTGTTGCTGTACCCCTTGCCTCTAAAGCATCCTGATCCATTCCAACGGATTGCTGCTCCTGCTGCTGCTGCTGGTGCCGGGCTTCCATGCGCAGCGCTTTTATATGCAGAACTGCCAGCCACCCTGCCCCCTCTAAATCAACAGAGGATGTCTGAGGGTGCCCCCTCAGTTGGGGGCCCTCGGTGCCCTCTTCCTCCTCACGCACACCCCCCACTGCTTCTGCAGCTGCTGATGCTGCTGCCTCTGCTGTTGCTGCTGCTTCTGCTGTTGCTGCTGGTGGGGCTGCTGAATCGTTCAAGGCCTCATATGGACGCGGCAGCAGCAGCAAACTCTGGGAGATGCTGCCCTTCAACCGCAGTGCCTCAAAAGAAAGTGATAGTTCTTCCCCCTGCTGCAGCAGCAGTAGCTGCTGCTGCTGTTGCAGCAGCAGCAGCTGCTGCTGTTGCCGAGAGGCTGTTGCTGCCAGTAGACACTGTTCTATGAGAGTAAGACACGCCGCTGCTCCTTCTAATGCCCGCGTGCTGCAGACACCCACGAGGCACTCAGCATTGACCTCTGCACTCTCTACAGATACCAAATTCCTGCAGCAGCTGCTGCTGTTGCTGCTGCAGTTTTCGCCCCTTATATTTCTTGAACCTAAAAGAACTGAAAGGACACTGTCTCTCTCCTGCGCGGGAAGGGAATGTGGGTTGCTAGCAGCTGAATCAGGTTGAGCCCCACGGCTGTCTGCTGCTGCAGGAGTAGCAGCAGCAGCAGCAGCAGCAGCTGCTGCTGCTGCATCTCGCGAAGAGCTGCAGCCCTGATATAAAGAGGCCCTCCAGGTGTATAACACCGGCTCTGAAGAGCTGAATGCTGCTATGCTGCCTAAGGAGAGAGACCCCAACAATCGGTTGCTGCAGGTATCGGCTGCTGTTGTTGTTGCTGCTGCTGCTGGTTTGCCACGCGCACAGGACAGAGAGCAAAGAAAACGACCCAACTCAACATACACACCAATGGAGCAGCTGCTGCACCTGCAGAAACACGCTCCTGCTGCTGCTGTTGCTGCATTTGCTGCAGAAGGCTCGGTAGACGATAGGGTTCTACAAAGGCAACTCGCCAGATTGCTGCTGCTGCTGCTGCTGTTGCGCTGCAGGCAGCAGTCTAGCGACAACGCCCCTAAAGAGACGCTGGCGCTGCTGCCGGGTGTCTCCAGTAGGCGTCTCCATAGCGGCTGCATCTGCATCTGCTGCTGTAGCAGCAGCAGCTGCTGCTGCCCTGCTGTAACAATTTGTGTGTCTTGTCTGCTGCTAAAGGTGCTGCATGCAAACAAGAGGGACTGCAGCAAAGACCCTAGAGGGGCAGCTAACTCTGAATCAATGAAGGCCTCAACAAAGGGGACATGAAGAGACACCACTTCACACAACTGCTGCTCCCCTTGCTGCTGCTGTTGCTGTTGCTGTTGCTGTTGCTGTTGCTGTTGTTGCTGCTGTTGCAGCTGCAAACCGTCCGTAAACCTTCCTGCTGCTTCCTTGGTGACCTCGTGGGCTGCTGCAGCAGTTGCTGTTGGAGTTGCTGCTGCAGCACAGGGTGCAGCAGCAGCAACAGCATTTGGTGCAACAGCAGCAGCTATTTGGGTTGGCTGGCTGAGGCAGACGTAAGAGAAGGAGGGAGCTGGTGTTGTCAGCATCATAACGAGAGGAACCACCGCGCGCGGCTGCTGCAGCGGGGGGCCTCCTGGGTACACGGGGGCCGCAGGGGTTCCCTGTACCCTAGGGCTCCCTAGTAGAGGGCCCCGCTGGGGGCCCCCCTCTAAAGGAACCCTCGATGAGTCTCTGGCGGAGTCGCTGGGGACGCACGTAGAAAATAAAAGCCTATACATCCAAGGATGCTGCTGCTGTATTTGTTGTTGCTGCTGTTGTATTTGCTGCTGCTGCTGCTGTATTTGTTGTTGCTGCTGCTTTCGGGGGTAGAGCAAGAAACAACGAATGTGCTGCTGCAGCAACAAGGACGAGTGATAGGATCCAGAAGAGTCCAACGCTGCTGCAGGGCAGCTAGTACTGCTGTCGCGGATGCATCTGCTATCTGCGCTGCTGCTGCTGCTGCTGCTGTCTTCCCCCCAGAACATTCGGCCTGGGCAGTAGGTCGCCTTGACGGCGCATACATCCAAAAGTAAGCAACTTCTGCTTTTGGTGCTGCTGCTGCTGCTGCTGTTGCTGCTGGTGAGTGTGCTGCTGCTGCTGCTGGCACTGCCAAGTAGTCTCTCCTCCAAATATCTGTCGTCATGCAGCGAGTCCTGCAGATCCAGCACTTCACGCTCCTGCACTGCAGCTGCTGTTACTGTTCCCGCTGCTGCTGCTGTCTCTGAACTGTCAAAATCACCAACAAGAAGGCGCAGACAGGGGAGGGAGAGGCCGAAGCAAATAGGAAGTCTGTCTACAGTAGGCTGCAATGACAGCTCTCCAGCAGCAGCAGCTGCTGCTGCTGCTGCTTCTGCTGCACCAGGAGATGGCAAGAAAGCAGCTGTTGCAGCATCACAGACCTGCATGCAGCAGCAAAAGCAGCAAACAGTCTACAGCAGCACTTGGAGTGTAGAGCACCTCCGTCATCGCAGGAAACATAGCAGCAGCAACAGGTGCAGCAGCAGCAGCAGACGCCCCAAGAGCAGCAGATAAAGGTCTGCCGCAACAGCGGCAACAAGGTAACAACAGCAGCAATGATGCCCACACCCAACCCCTGTACCGCAACAGCAGCAGCAACAGAAACAAAAACAGCAGCAGCAGCAGCAAAGAATACCTGCAAAATATCTCCTAGGATTTGAAGGGGCAGGTGGCCGATGACAACTTCTAGCCTTAGATCAGCCCATGCTGCTGCTGCAGCACTAGCTGCTGCTGCAGCCACAGCAGCAGCAGGAGCTGCTTTTGTTACCGGTGCTGCTGTGTCCGACAGCATCGGCTGCAGTGGAGGTTGAGCAGCACTCAATACGGGAACGTTCCATCCTGTTGCTGCTGGTGTTGCTGTTGCTGCTGCTGCTGCTGCTATTGGGGATAGTGGTGCCGATGCTGCCGCTGCGGCTGCTGTTGCTGCTGGTGGTGGCACCATGGCCTCCGGTGTGTGGGCCCCCCCCCCTGTTAGGTAGGGGCTCACTGCCGAAGCGTCTGTACACTGGAGGGGACCCCCGTTGAGCTGCAGCGGCGAGAAAAAATAGGAGACTCTAAGAGAAGCAAGGGGCTGTTTCTGTGCTGCTGCAGCAACTGCAGCAGCAGAATGAGAGTCACTCCTGCCTGCCTGTATCCCTTTAGAGGGCCCCCCCTCTCCGTTACAACTGGATAGCTGCCGCGTCTTCAGAACGTCCCTTGGTGCTGCTGTTGCTGCTGTTGTTCTCGTTGCTGCTGCTGCACCTCTGTGTGCAGGTACGCCCTCTGTGGGGGCACAAAGAGGAACCATATAAACCCCCTCATGGACTGCCCTCTGTAACTCTTCCGGCACCTTCACGAACTTTGCTGCCCTGGTGCTGCTGCTGCTGCTGCTGTTGTGTCTGCGGCGTCTGTAGGAGCGGCAGCTGCCGAAAGGAGCAGCAGGAAACTGCTCTGTGCACTCTGCCCACCCTGCGGCTGCCTCCTCCCTGCAGCAGCAGCGTGTGTGGGGCCCCCTCCATCTCAAGCGAGAGGTTCCTTTTCTTCTATACCCCATGAGACTGTTGCTGCTGCTGGCGCTGTACTCGCTTCCGCTGCTGCTGCTGCTGCAGCTGCAGCTGCAACCGCTGCTGCTACTGCTATTGCTGAGGCACCTAGAAGAATGCAGCCCTGTGCCGTGCTTGGATCTTCTGGAACATCTCCCTTCCGAACGCTCTCCTGCTCCTGCTGCAGCACCAGCAGCAGCAGCAGCACGGTTGCTCCTACTTGCTGCTGCCTCCCGCCAAGCTCCAAAGAGTAGCAAATGAGTCTTGTATTCTACAGGGTACACTTGGGGGGCCCCTCCACTTGTCGCCTCCTCTAAAGCTTCTGTCAATTCTTTTAGTGCGGGTACAGCCCTCTGCTGCCAGCCGAAGCTGCTGCTGCTGCTGCGGTTGGTTGTGCTGCTCCTGCTTGGCAGCTCAGCTGCTGCTCCGATGCTCCAAAGGGTTGAGGGAGCAGCAACAAACGATGGCCCCATCACCGGCTGGCGAGAAGAAACACACGCAGGAGCAGGGTCAGAAGCAAGTACAGGTAGTTGCGCTGCTGCAGTTTGTACCTGTGCTGCTGCTGCTGCTCCTGCTGTGGTCGTTGCCTCCCTATCCCGCTCCTGCTTGTTGTCAAGAGCCTCTGCAATTATCTCAAGTCCTCCTGGCGCATACATGTGTACGTCTTGCTGCTGTTGCTGCTCGCACTTCGGTTCCTGCTGCTGCTGCTGTTGCTGCTGTTCTGCCATGGAGAAGGTGTTCAGGGGGTCGTCTAGCACTTCGCCTCCCAACATGCTGCCCAATATGTCGCAGTCGCTGTCCGTACACTGCACAGCAGCAGCCAGCGGCTCGCCTTCGTCAGTAGCAGCAGCTGCAGCAGCAGCAGCAGCAGCAGTGTTATTTTCTACTTCCGCTGTGTCTGCTGCAGCCGCCTGCCCAATATCAAGCTTGGGCTGCTTTGCCCCGTGGGTTGACAGCCTCTTCCCTTTACCCTTTCTCCCGGCTGTTGCTGTTGCTGCTGCTGCTACTGGTGGTGCTGCTGCTGCTTTTACTGGAAATTCTGCTGCTTCCGACAGGCCCCCGGGAGGTGTACTGCTGCCCTGAGGAGACAAGAACTTGCTGCTGCTGCAGCTGCTGCAGCTGCTGCCAGGATCGGGAGCAATCCCACGAAGCTGCAGCGTCACCTTCCCTTGGTGCTGCCCCTTTGCTGCTGTTGCTGCTGTTATTGCTGCTGTTGTTGCTACCGTTGCTGCTGCTACTGCTTCACCATTCGAGTAACCCTCCTTGCGAGCAGCACGCTTCCCTTTTAGGCTGCCTCTCCCTCCAACAGCTAGCCCTTCTGCTGCCGCTGCTGCTGGTGTGGTTGGCTCTGCCGCTGCTGCTGCACCACGCGCCTTCCGTCCACCAGAAGCCTTTACACCGCTAGGCCGGTCAACAGTTCCTCTGCCTGCTGCTGCCGCTCGTGGTGGTGGAGGTGCTGCTGTTGCTGCGGGGAGTCTAGCTGCTGCTGCTAATGCCTTCTTGCCTTTACGCTGTCGTCGGCCCCTAGAGCACTCATCAGGGGCAATGCCGCTGCTGTTGCTGTCGCTTCTGCTGCTGCTGTTCCTGCCGCTGTTGCTCTTGATGCTGGTGTTGTTGCTGCTGCTGCACCTCATGCAGCTGGGGCTGCTGCTCCTGCTGTCGCCTGTTTCATCACTTGCTGCTCCCTTTCCCTTCTCTTTCACGCAGGAAGAGCGTTTGCTGGCTCCCTGCAATGTTGCTTGTTCCCTGCTGCTTCCAGGATTGCTGCTGCGGCTGCTGCTGCGGCTGCAGTTGCTGCTGCTGCTGTGTGCTGCTGCTGCTGCTGCTGCTAATGTTGAGGTTTCCTGCGAACTACCAGCTACAGCTTCTCCTTTAACGGCCCCACACAGAGGCTCGGGGCCTCCTCCTTCCTCGAGGTCTGCGCTGGTGTTGCAGCAGCTAATCTGGCTGCTGCGCCTGCTGCTGCTGCTGCTGCTGCTGCTGCCACTGCTGCTGCTGCTGCTGCTGCCACTGCTGCTGCTGCTGCTGCTGCTGCACTTACTGTTGCACTTACTGCTGCAGCTGCTGCACTTGCTGCTTAATGCATCACTGCTTCTGCTGAAGTCCGGCGAAGGTGTGCCTGGAAAAGCAGCAGCAGCAGCATCTGCTGGCTCAAGAAGCAGGGAAACCTCGGACTCAGTTGCTGCTGCTGCTTCTCCTTCCACCTCTTCTTTCGCGAAAGGTGCAGCGGCACGATTAGTGGCAAAAATAGCTCTCTCTGCTATTGCTCCTGCTGCGGCCGCACTTGATTCCTGATCCGCAGGTACCGGCGGTTTGATCTGCTGCAGGTAACTCCATACACGCGCTAGGGGCCCCCCAGGGGCCGCTGCTGCATCTGCTGCCTGTGCGCCTACCGCAGGGGCCCCCGTGGGTTTCGCCTCATGAAACTGAAGGGCCCACTCGCCCACAAAGACCACACTCTGTAGGACGTGCAGCGGCACCTGTTGCTGCTGCTGTTGATGCTGTTGATGCTGGGTCAACATGGTCAGAGAAGATACCTGCCCTGGGACTAGAACCCGAGGGGCCCCTCGTCGTCCTGCTTCTGTTATTGCTGCTGCTGCTGGCACTCCGTTCAGAAGCCGTGCTTCCGGTCCATCACATCCAGCAGCACGCATACCGCAGGAGCTGCTGCAGCAGCTGCTGCTGCTGGGCGAGAGTACAGAGACAGACAAACCAGAGACAAACAGAGACACAATATGAGCAGAAGGCAATGGGGCCCACAAGAGACTGCAGGGGCCCCCCCTTCCAAACAATTGACCTGAGGTGGTAGAAGCAGCAGTAGCAGCAGCAGCTGCAACATCAGCAAAGTCTTGCGTGGTTGCTGCTAAGGAGTCAAGGGGGCCCTGGGGGCCACCCCAGTCGTCCCGATGAATCTGCTGGTGCTGTTGCTGCTGCACTGCAGCAGCTGCAACATTCGCACACTCCCCTAATGCATCAGACGTTACCCCAGGGGGCCCCTCACTGTAGCCCCCCCGCGAAAGGCAAGAAGAAGCTGAGGGGGGCCCAGGCAGGCCACCATGAGGTACCAGCAGCGGGCAGAAGTTGCTGCTGCTAACGAAATGAAGAGCCACTGTATCTACGGCTACGCTTACAGCGAAAGACGCACGAGGACCAGGAGTGGCAGCAGGCGTTGCTGCTGCTGCTGCTGCTGTGCCATTTGAGCCTAAACAGGTTGCTGCTGCTGCTGGTGCTCCGCCACGTCCAAGACACGTTGACGTTGCGCAGCTCTTTTCGAAGGCAGGCATATAAGAAGCAAAGGAACCATCCCCGACAGCAGCAGCAGCCACAGCGGCAGCGGCACCGGCAGGACCAGAAGCAGCAACAGAAGCCGCGCCAGAAGGAGAGGCCGCATTGCGACTGCAAGGCCGTGCCACGCTTCCTGGATGCTGCTGCAGTTGCTGCTGCTGCAGTTGCTGCTGCTGCAGTTGCTGCTGCTGCAGTTGCTGCTGCAGCATCTCCGACGACCTCCAGATGGGCTGACATTCGCCTGCTCCTGTCCGCGGCTGCGAGCGTATCTGTGCTGTTGCTCTATCTCCACTCCAGGGGCAACTGTTGTTTTGCTGCTGCTGACGATGGTGATGCTGCAGCTGCTGCAGCTGCTGCTCATCTTCCTGCGAGAGGTGCATCTCTTGTTCTTCTATCAGCCTGCATTGCAGGTCATGGTGTAGCTGTTGCCATTCCTTCTGCTGTTGCTGCGGTAGCTCCGTCTGTTGCTGCAGCTGGTGCAGCTGCTGCTCCGTAAGCGGAAGAGGAAACACCTCTCCCCCCAGCGGCAGTTCCGTCTCCTCTGGATCCTCAACCCCCTGCTGGGATCCGATCCCCAAATCGATATTTCCTCCGCCTCCTAAAGAGCAAAAGCCAGTAGCCCGCCGCCACCATGGGATTTCCCGCTGCTCCGCTGGGCCCCCTTTGGGGGCCCCATCGGGAGCCCCCTCGGGTTCTGAGGGCACCCCGGACTGCGAAAGGCCCCCAGGGTAACAACTATCTTCCCCTTCAGCGACAGCACGGGAAAAGAAATCTGCTGGCCGAGGGGACCCAGTGGGGGCCTCCCTGGGGGCCCCCTTTTGCGACCTCGTCGAAGCCACTACACTCGAAGTCAAGATATTCTTGCCAGGGTTGCAACTGTCAATGTTGTTGCTTCTGCTGCTGCTACTGCTGCTGCTTCTGCTGGTTCTGCTGCTGCTGCTGTTTAAGGGCTGCTCACAAGTGACGCCTTGCAGCGAAGCCTCTGCTACTTCCCCCTCTGCTGCTGCTGCTGAGTAGAAATTTAACGACGGGTCCTGTGAAGAGTCGCGAGGGCTTGACGTTTTGCTGCAGCTACGCCTGCTGCTGCTTCTGCTGCTGTTGCTACTGTTGCTGCATCTGCTGCTGCAGCTGCTTCTGCAGTTGCTGCTACTGATAGGGGGAGACCCTGCAAGTAGAGGGATCCCTTGCTGAAGACCCAATGTCTCCCCCATCAGCCGCAGCAGGCGCAGGTGCTCGGTACCCAGCAGCACAAGAACTAAAGGAACTGACAGACAGACGCCATAGTCAAAGACAGCTTCTGGTGCTGCTGTTTCGCTGCTGCTGTTTCTGCTGCCACCGCTGCTGTTGCTGCTACCGCCGCCCGTGCCGCAGCACCTGTCGCTGCTGGTTGCCCAGGTGCAACAAGTCCCCTTGAGACATCCATCGCAGGTGCACCTACTGGGTCTCCAATCTCCTACATCCGCTGCTGCTGCTGCTGCTGCAGCTGCTGCGAGGGGTCCTGGAGGGTATGCTGCAGCAGCAGCAGGAGCAAAAGACGACGATGCTGCCTGCTGTCTCCGCAGCAGCGCGCGGCATTCCCGTTTGTGGGCTTCTGATTGCATGGTAGTCACAGAACCAAGCCCTGCATGCAGGGCGACTCTGCCGACAATATGCGCAGCATCGTCCTTTGCTGCTGCTGCTGCTGCTGCTGCTGCTGCTGTTGGTTGCTGCAGGGGGGGGCCCGAGGCGCGAAGAGGTACTTGCCAGCCATTAAGGCTGTTAGGCGCCCTAGTAGAGAGCAGAAGAAGACCTGCTGCAAACAACCAACTGTCTCCCCCTCGTGACTGAAATGCTGCAGCAGGAAGAGGAGGCAGCAGAGACACCTGACAGCCGCCTAGCTGCAGCTGCGCGCTGCCTTCAAAGGAATCGCAGCAACGCAGGCCCTCCAGGTGTATCCGCAGGGCCCACAAGGATTGAGGGGGGCCCCTGGGACAGCCAGTTGGTGTAGCCCCGTTCAGCCGGGGAGCCTCTAATGGTTCGCTTGACTGCTGCAGCTGCCGACGCCGGCTATGTCGCGGTTTGCTGCTTGAGGAAGAAAAAAGGTACCCACCACTTGTTGGGGCCCCTAGTATGCTGCTTTCTGCTGCTGGGGACCTCTTCGTGGTCTTCCACGGGTGTTTGTCCGGGGGCCCATGATGCTGGTAGGGCACGTTGGGGGGCCTCTCATGAGAGGTGCCTTCTGCATATATGCAAATACTGATTATCTCCACAGACAAGTCTGCTGCTCCTGCTGCACTGTGCAGTGCGCGGCGCAGCAGCCCGAGCAGAGACTCTAACCCATATACGGCCCTCTCTGCAGCCTTTGGGGGGTCTCCAGCGCAGCCCGTAAAAGGCGACGGTCCCCCGGAAGGCTCCCCCCACTCGCTGACTGCTGCAGTTGCTCCCCACGCCTCTGAAGAACCCGCAGAAGGGGGGCCGCCACGGGAAGCAGCACTGTCTTCTGTAATGAAGGGACAGCGTCCGCTATGCACTTGCGGGCCTCCTGCTGCTGCTGCCGCTACTGCTGCAGCGGTTGCATCAGGTGCGGAGGAAGAACTGTTTGTGGGGGAGTCAAGCAGCATCTCTACACGGCTCCTGCCTGCACCAAGGTGGGTACCCATGGGGGCCCCCCTTGAGGTCCCTCCTTGTCTCGTCGGTAGTTCCCCCGCTGGCGCTGCTGCTGTAGAAAGGGGCCCCTGATGGAGACAATAATCGTCCGGGGAGGGCCCTGTGTTGTTCTGTACATGTTGCAGCTGCATCTGTAAATTACCAGCAACCGCCGTACCCACCGCAGCAGCAGAAGCAGAAGAAGCATTTGCTGCCGGTTCTGTTTTTGTCTGGAATCGCGCCGTAGCTGTTGGTGGCAAGACGAGGGGTAACCCCTGTAAGGGTCCTGCTACCATATGTAAGGGGGGACCCTGTACACCTGTTTCCTTTATTTTAAGTACCAGGGTAGGTCTTGATATACGGAGGGTAAGGGGGAGTTTAAGACTAATGCTGCCTATGTGGCAGTTAACAACTGTAAGACAGCCCCATCCTGCTGCATGCAATGCCTCTGTTAAAGTCTTAGCATCTACTTCAACTGCAAGAAGGCAAACCTCTCCTCCCCCTACTGCCACCTGCAGCTGCTGTGTACTGAGACGCTGCATCACAGAGCCTAACACCACACGCCGCAGAGAGGCAGCAGCAGCACTCTTCAAGGTCTGCTGCAGCAGCTGCAGCAGACGCACCCACAAAGAGGACTCCCCCATTTTCTTTACCTCTCAACAGGGGAGCAGGGTCCCCTCCTCTAGACCCCACAAAGAGAGGGCAGATAAGCCCCCTACTGATGGAAACACACAGAATTCAAGGCTGTAGATGCTTCCCTGCTACCCATCATGCTGCTGCTGCTGCTGCTGCTGCTTATGTAGTTTCCGGTACTGCTGTCGCTGCTGCTGTTGCGACTGGACAGTCAGGCAGCCCGGGGGCCTGTGGGATGCACTGGGGGGCCCCCGTGTCTGAGAATCTGCAGCAAGAGGACGGGCGGCCGCACTAAAGAGCTGCAGCAGTCATCGAAGGCGCTTTATCTGGTAGCAGAGGTGCAACAAAGGAAAAAGAGCGGGAGAGGGGCAGAGAGGCTGTTTCTTGAAGCAGCCGCTTCGCTGAGAAGGAACTGTAGAGGAGTGGGCACTGGTATAGAGGAGGTGGAGTCGTCAGCAATATGCGTGTGGGCAGCAGCAGCAGCAGCTGTTGCTGCTGGTGGTGCTGCTGCAGGGTGCTGTTGCTGCTGATGCAGCAAAGCCACCTTGGAAGGGAGGCACGCAAGCAGCGGTGCGTCTCTCTTCTCGTCTGTCTCCTCCTGCTAAAAGAAGTGACAACAGAGGAGGCAGAAGCTGCCTCTTGAGCAAGCGCAGCTGCAGCAGCTTCTGTTGCTGCTGCTGTTGCTGCTGCTGCGGCTGGTGAGGGTCTCGCAGCCGAGAGAGAAGGCGGGCTCCAAAGGAGGGCCCCGAGCAGCCGAAGTGCCTTCAGGAGAATGCTGAATAATTAGGTTAGTCAGGTGATCTAATAAAAACACAAAAATAATGATATATGCCTGTCCCGCCTCCAGAGCCTGCCTGCCGTGCTGCGGCCTCTCCTGAGGCGCCGCTTCTTTGGGTGTTAGACAGTGGTGAGGGGGGTTGAAGAGGGTATTGCTCCTCTTACTTGTTTAGTATTTGTTTTTAATGTTCTTTTTGAGTCCGTGGCAACACGCAAAGATATAATTAAGTACAGTTTCCCCTTTTTTCGCACCGGACGACGCCCCTCACGCCCAACAGACCGCTGTTATGCTGTCAGTGGGTTTCCTGAGTCTTGTGTAGGGAAGCAGGACTTGTTGTTGCCTCTGTTTGTTTGCTTGGTGTTAAGGGATTGGGTGTATCAGCATAATTATATTTAATATACAAAATCAATCCTATTTAGTTATAATTCCATTCCAATTAAAACCTTGCTTCCCCTGCAACCCCCTAAAGGGACCCACCACCACCCACCGTCTCTCCCCTCCCTGCAGGAGCCCAGCGGACAGCCTATAGCAATACGGCGGTCTATCTGCTGCTTTTTGGCTTCAAATGCTATTTTGCAGTCAACACAAAACCAAACACACGACCAAATCCACTTAAAAGGACAAAACAAGGCATCAAAGCATCAAAATTTCCCACCAGGCCAAAAAGATGCGATGAGCAGCCACTTCGATGCTGCCGCTCGCCGGGGCTCCACCCTGCATGCAGCGGCCTTTTCTGTTTAACCTTTTTAAATTCAAAGGTGATGGGATGGTGAAATAAGTCCTTTTAGGCCGCAAGAATTCGAGATTCTAGCTGCAGCCAGCGGTCAAGTCCGGTGAAGTGCAGCGGCACCCGCCAGGCCAGGGTCACTCGCTGGCTTCTGTCTTGCTTCTTGACTAGACGTCCTATTTCTAAGCCCTAAACAGTAGTAATGATTGTCTAGACAGTGGGCAACTACCTTATGAGCACTCGATGGGGGGAAGCTGGCTGCTTCTGCATGCTATCTCTCCCCACCTGCTGCTGCACTGCTACGCCACTACCGTAAACTCTCCGCATCTTCATAAAGTCCGCTTCCATTTCTGACTCGGATGCGTCTTCAACTAGCCACAGTCAGGGGGGGGGATGGAAGAGGTGGGGTTCCCCCGTCCCCGCTGAGTCCGTGCTCCATCACAAGCCCTAGGGGGTCCCCTGGGGGCCGCACCAGGAGCACTTGCAGCGGCTCCTCTTTCTGCTACAGGGAAGTAATGGCTCAGTGCAGCGCTGTGGTGGAGACTCTTCTAAAAGATCCGCAAAATGTGCATGCAGGCTGCGACGACGTCTTGGGGTAAGCAGCAGCGTGTACTGTCTTTGTAGGGTTTGGGGGCTGGCACAGTTATGCCCCACATCGCATTGTATGCATGCAAATATAAACATAGAGCTTGCACGCGCTTGCTTCCACGCGTCAATGCCTTCTTGGGCAGCACTGCGCTTTACGAAGCAGATGCACGCCGACACGGGACAGAGGGAGAGGTTGTCCAGGCGCGCTGGTGGTGCTGCTGCTGCTGTTGAATCACTCAAACCCACGTCCAAAATAGCTGCACTTCAGGCTCCATTGAAAACGCCTCCCCGCACTGGTGCATCGCCAACAGTTAGCCAAAGCTATCTACTGCTAGTCACAGCGAGCAGCAGGAAGCCGTAGCAAGGCACGGCCTGCCACAGCTAGCCACAGCCCGCCATAGCTAGCCACAGCTAGCCCAAGGCTACCGTAGGCGACAACGCCTAGCAAAACAGGCTCCAGAGCTAGCTGCAGCTGGCTTTTTCGAGCGCAGTGGGGATAGAGGCTAGGTACTGTGTCTATCTGTGGCAATCAGGAGCTCACTATCCACAGTGAGCTCCTGATTGCCACAGATAGACACAGATGGCCACAGCTAGCCACAGCTGGCCACAGCTAGCCACAGCTAGTTCCAGCAAGCTAAGGTAATTCCACTTTACCGCAGCTAGGAGTCTATGGCGTTTAAGAATAAGAGGTAGCCCAGGGGCGAAGAGCGGGTTGTCGTGCTGCTGCTCCCTCTACAGTGCCATTGGTGCCTGGGTCCCCCCTCATGCATGTAAGAAGGTGCCTACCTGCGTTGTGCTGCCGCTGCTGCTGGTGCAGCTGCGCGTCCACCCCGGCTGCAGCATTCGCGTATCAGGTGGCAGATCGGGCTGTTTGCGAGCAGCAGCTGCTGCTGCCGCTGGTAGAGGAGTTCATGCTGTACCTGAAGCAGCAGCAGCAACGTATTGGCGTTTGCTGTACCAGAGATAAAAAAGACAAATACCGATTTGCTGTTGTGTTTTATCTGGCATTGTTTCTTCTACCTGAGATCGGCCTTGCCTCTTTCAAGCGCTTTCTCCTTGTCCGTAATACACACAATAAATAAATTAATAAGTAAAAATAGTTAAAATAAATAGATAAATATACAGAAAAATAAGTAGTAAATATGGACAAAACCACAAGAAGAACATAAAGGAAGAGAAAAATACACCAAACACTCATACAAAGAATCCCAGAAAACACCACGTAAAAGGGTAAAACAGATGGAACTCTACGCTAAGCACAAAGAAAGGAAAGACCAAGAAAAAGACGGGTAGAAGGGCAGCGACAGAAAAAATGCATGAGACAGAAACACAGACAGTGGGGGAGACAGTGAGAGAAGCAGAGGGCGAAACAGCCGGAGAGAAAAAGGGAGAGACAGATGGAGAGCAAGGAGAAGGGAAAAGATAGCACGACAAAGAGAACGGCTGGCGAGCCAGAGGAACAGGCGAGGGACAGAAGGAGAGACAGAAAGCCAAGAGGCAAAGACAGAGGGAGAACAAGAGGGAGAGGCACACAAAGACAGAGAGAGAGACAGATAGACAAAGACAGAGACACAGAGAAGACAGAAAGAGACAAAGAGAGACAGAGTCGAACAAACTCACCGGCAAGGAGACAGCCAGTGGAGAGAGTAACCTAGAGGAAGAAAGAGACAGAGACGATGATACAATGCCAAAGTGGCAGCGACAGAGACACTGGCAAGCAGGCAGATAAGCCTAGAGACAAGGGCAAAGCGAGAGTCATAGAGGAAGAGAGACAGAGAAACAGAAACAGAGACACTCCGGACTATTTGTGTGTGCTGTAAGGTAGGCAGCAACAAACTCCGTCACCGCTTGGTGTCTATTGGAGTTCCTATTTGCTGGGGAACCCCTACGAGAGCGGCTTTTCCCTAAATGGCTACCACACTATGAAGAAGAATACCTCGAGGACACAATTCTTATGAGCATTGCCAAAGCCAGACGCGCCCTTGGTCCCCTCTTAAACGGCCTCAGAGCAAACGCGCCTGCGGGTCCGCCTTGCGGCACCGACTCCAATGGGCAGCCGCAGGACCCTAAAGGGAGCCGGAACGACCCGAGGGGGCTTATGCACGGAATTAGGGGATCCCCGCAAGGCTGCCTAAAAAGGCAGAATGCCGATGGACTACTACCAGACGGCACAGGACACATGCAGGGGAGCTTTGGGGCGTTAAAGGGGCATCAAAGAACTAAAAAGGGCCTCCAAACCGTCTTGTATGCAGAGGACAAAGACAGAGGGACCCAGATGGAATCCAACGGGGGGGCCGCAGGGGGAGGGGGCCCCCGAGGACCCTTGGTGTCTCCGTCTAGGAGACATACGACGCCAGTAGACTGGGGGGGGCCCAAGAGGATCCCCAGCATAGCGCGAAAGGAGGCAGTTGAGAGGAAGGCTACAGGCTGCTGTCTCTCTCTTCTAAAGCCCGAGAGCCTTCTGCAACGCGCTGCTGTCTCCCTTGCACACTCCAAAGGGGATAGGGGCCCCCACGATAAGGGCCCCCATGAAAACCCAGAAGGAGGCAGGCAAGAGGGCGACAATCAAGGAGGAAACATCAGGGTCGCCGGCACGATGGAAAGGGCTCCCAGTGCAACAGCAGCAGCAACAGCAGCACCAGATACCGTGAACTTCAAAAACCCTATAGACCACACCTCAAGGGTAGAGACGGCAGGAAACCAAGTAGCTACCCCCCAGAGCGTCTCCCTACAAATGTTTGAAGACACGACTCAAGACAAAAAGCGTGCTGCACAGCAGGCGGAGGAGCAGCAGCAGCAACAGGAACAACACCAGCAAGAGCAGCAGCAGGAACAACACCAGCAGGAGCAGCAACAGGAGCAGCAGCAGCAGCAGCAAGAGCAGGAACAACAGCAGCGGGGACAGCAGCAGCACGAGCAGCAGCAGCACCAGGAGGCAGAGAGACGGAGCAGCAAAAGAGAGGCTGCTCCAGGGCAGCAGCTGAAGGCCACAGGTGCTGCTCTACTGGTGGCTGTTGTGTCTGGTTTTTATATTCCCTTCCTTGAGGATTGCATGGGGAACACTTAAAACCGAGACTGTGGCTTCTCTCTTTCTGTCTCCTTGGGGTGCCTCTTTTGCTGCGCTTCAGCTGCTGCCTCCTCCTCCCCCCTTGGCGCTTCTCGTGGGCCTTCCTCCCCTGCTACCTTCTCTCAGCTATACCCAAGACAACAAAAGGGGATACGAGCCTCAATAAAACGTTTGTCCCGCTGACTGCTCTGCTGCTTCACAGATGGGACTCCTTCGTTTCTTGATGATGCCATAAAACAGGTCAAAGGGTGTCCTTTGTGCTTTGTGTCTCCGTCCCCCTTCGCCTTCGTATCTGTCTGTGGCTTAGATTTGCCCTCCCCTTGTTATTGCCTTTGTCTTACTAGTGTCTTCTTCATGTTCTTGCATTGGCTTTGCTTCTTCTCTCCCTATCCTTGTCTTGCCCTCCACGTGTCTGCTAATACCTCATTTGCTTCCCTCTCCGTCGCCTTTGTCTGGCGCTCTATCTCAACTTTCCGTTTACTAATGCTTCTCTTTGCATGGGTGTGTTGGCTGTCTAACGTGCATAGTGCAACACAGTTCGAGCTGCCTGTACACCCCAGATGCCTGTATACCCCAACTGCCTGCTTGCCACTCAGCTGCCTGTGGTGTCTCCACAGCTCTCTCCGCCACCTCCGCCTCCTGTAAAACTCTAAGCACTAGTCAGCCTCCAGCTGTGCGACACACTGCCGCTTCAATAAAAAGAGCTGAGAGGCTGTTGCTGCTGCAACAGGTAAATAGTATAAACCAGCTGTTGCTGAGTGGTTGGGGTCAATGGGGTCACCCGAGCAGCCATTCAGTGACCTTAACCCAAAACCCTAAACAATAAGCTATAAACCGTACAATGACATTTGTCGTCACTTTACAGGAGCTATATTCACACCTTAACCCTCAAGGGCACCACTATAAACACACAAGCGCAAGCATAAGGTTTTCGGATGCAGACGTAAGCATTCAAGGCTTTCTTGAAAGGTTTAGGGTCTAGGGTTTAAGGATGTGACTTATGTTTTAGGCTTGTCCGTTCAGTCTTATGAGTTTAGCGTAGTTTCGGGAGTGGGCCGTTCTGCGAGTTTATGGTTAGGGATTTTAAGGTTTAGGGTTTAGGGGATATTATGTGCTGTTGTAGGAGGACAGGGGTGTAGCGACAGAGGACCCTCTCTTGTACCAAGCAGGAGCGAGGCAATTCGATGCTCTGAGGGACTTGCAGAGGAGGCATCTGCAACAGCAACTCAAGAAACGTGTCTGCATACGAAGAGCCAAAGCGCGCATTTCACGGTGCTTCTGCTGCTGATGCTGCGGCTGCTTCTGTTGCCGCTGCTGCTGCCGTTGCGGTTGATTTTCGTAGGAAAGCTTGCTCTAGAGGCTTCAGATGTTGGGTGGTGCTGCTTCTGCTTCTGCTACAACTACCGTGGTCGTGGTGACTGAGTACCTGCTGCATGCGCTGCTTCTATTGTTCTACTGGTGCTCGTACAGTTGCTCGTGCTGCTGCTCTATCGTCAGCCCAAGGGCAGCTGCACTGCGCTGCGGAGGGTTCTCTTCAGATCACGAGCTCTGCTCAGAACCCTCGAAGCAGCAAGAGAGAGAGCTGCCGCAGCAGCAAGGGAGAGACAGCGAATGTCAGAGCAGCTGAAACACCGGTGCAACCAGCAGCAGCGTTTGGTTTCTCACGTTCGGGACCGCAACAGCAGGAGAGCGCGACTGCAGTTGCGCAGGAGACAGGTGCTGCTCCTGCTTCTACTACTACTTTAGGAAATGAAGCCACCTGCACTAGCTACACGTTATATGCTGCCTGAGGGTGCTACACCTCTGTCTGCTTGCCCCAGGCATGCTGCAGCACGCATGGCGTTGCAACATGAGGCTAATGCATCTGGCTGCTGCTGCTACTGATGCTGAGGCATGCTACTGTTACATGATGCTGCTGCATGCAGGTGGCGTGCATGCGGTGCAGCTTCAGCGTGGGCAGCTGTATATAAATGGAATAAGATACGTATAACCCTGTTTATGCATATATCGTTAGTGTGGGTATCTGCATGCAACAGCAGGTGTGTGTTTGTGGTGGGAAAGAGGCTGCTCTCTGTACACAAGAAAAGGGGCGCTGTCATTTACCGCTGAGCCGCCGCGTGGTATCGACTGTCTCTGTGTTGCTGCGACAAAAGGTAATTGACAACAACAGACTTCAAGCAGAGGCAAGACGCAAAGAGAAACACAAAAACCGCAGGATAATTGCCAAGTAGGGACAAGCGGCGCTGCTGCTTCTGTTTTGTTGTTGTTGTTGCTGCTGCTTTTGCTGATGCTGCTGCTGTTGCAGCAAGCTCCGTCCGTGTTTCCTTTTGTGGCAGTGGTACTGCTGTTGGGGAGATTATTTTGCTGCACCATCCGTTGTTGCTGTTGCTTGTCGCTTTACTGTTTATGCTGCTGCTGCTGCTGTCGTCGGCGCTCCTACATATCCAGAACCGCTTCAGCTGCTGTATTACTTTCCCCAGTTGCGGTTTCTTTTGTTTCGTTTGCTTGTTTGCTTCCCTTCCTTTCTCAGAACCAGCTCTCGATACTGCTGTGTGTGTTGCTGCTGCTCCTGCTGCTTCAGGTTGTCAATGGACTATGCATTACAGAAGAAAGTGGCAACCTCTCAGCTACGCGAGTTGTCTCGTGCTACATCAATCATCGCTGCAATGAAACGGGCAGCCGCACTGCGAGTTCGAAAGGACCCAACTACCTGCGGCTGGAGCAGCAGCAGCTACTGCTGCAGCAGCCCCGGCAGCAGCACCCTGGAGAGGACAGATGTTGGGTTCTTGAGCTCGATGTCGCTTGTTGAGACACGCCTCCGAGCTTCCATTTTGAAGGTTTGTTGGGCTGCATTTGCGTATGGGTCTGCAGCTGGTGTTGCGGTAGCTGTCCGTGTGGCCCAGAAGTGCTGCTGGTGCAGCGACTGCTGGAGGAACAGCTGCGGCAGCAGTTCATCGGGAGGGGGTGTACCTATTGTCTCTTTCTCTCTTATGGGCGGCCATGGTATGCAGCAACGAGCAGCACAGGAACTCGAAAAAAGACGTAGAGAAATCAAGGAGGAGAAAGAAAGACAAAGAAGGGGCCTGCAACGAGCAGCAGCAGTTGTAGAAAGGTGCGACACAGGCGCCTCAAAGTGTCTGTACTATAACCTCTGTTGCTCCTCCGGCTGCTGCTACACTTATAGGTGCTGCTGGTAGTCCTGTTGCGACTGCTGCTGGTGCAAGAGCTGCTGCTGCAAATGTCCCTGCTGTTGCGGCGAAGCCCATAAGCTGAGTACTGTGCGCGAGGTGTCTGAAGAAGTCAACGGGTGCATAGGAAGCCGTTGCCGGAACAGGGGCAGCAGAGAAACAGAGCACCAGGAGCACCAGCAGCAGCATTCGGGTTCGACTGTGGTTTTCTCAGAGCCAAGCAGGAGCTGCAAGCAGCAGCAGCCCTCTACAGAGAGAGACGGGCTGAAGAGGCTAGGAAGGCAAAAGAAGCCGAACGATGGGCAGCCGGAGCTGCAGCCCTGAAGGCGTCCAAATGGGTACGCAGAGAATCTACAGCAGCCGCAGCAACGGCAGCAGCGACAGAGGCAAACCAGAAATCCGCCAGAAGCTGCTGCAGCAGAAGTAGCGAATGGAGCTGCAGCAGCACGAACGCCCACTAGAGGACAAGGTGCAGCAGCAGCAAAGAATGAACAGCAGCAGGAAGAGCAACAACAATTAACTACAGCAGCAACAGCAGAAGCCGGTGCATCCACAGCCGCAGCAATGTTGTGTGTGTCTGCGCAGCTGCTAGAGAAGAAGACAAGGCAGATGAGGAGACAGGAAGCTCTAAAACAGGTAATGGTTTTGTGGCTGTCTGTGTGAGTGCATGGAGGGAGATAGTCATTAAATATGATGGGACTGCTGCCGTGTATGCGCAGGAGCAAATAGAGCGACAAATAAGCTACCAGTACACGCAGGGAACCAAACGATCAGCTGAACAAGCAGGTTGGATACATATCAGTCTATACTTCGATATGGTGTATATATGTGTCTGGATCTTTATTTTGCACCGCGTTTTGTTCGCAATGGGGGATGGCTGTTACCGAGGTGTTGAATCGGCAAGCGAGCTCATTAGCTAGCTATTCCGTCCAAGCTTGTAACGGGAGGCCAGTTGGTTGCCGATAGAGCATTCGATATGCACGTACTTGCACTCATTAATGGATACGTGCAGAGGAGTGATCCTGTTTCTGTTGCTGTTGCTGCTGCTGCCGTTTGTGCTGCAGTACGTCAACAACTTGTGCAGGGATTGGAGAGGTTGGCACTTGCGCGGCAGCAACAGCGGCTGAGGGAAGAGGTTAGTGGCAGCTCAGCGAACACTGCAGCACACTAGTCCGATAAGGGCAAAAATAAAGAAAAAAGCAAAACGAGTACAATGAATATAAACATAGGAACTCTGGTAACAGAGAGAGAGTGTGCGTTAGAGAAAGGCAGCGAGAGGGGAGCAACGGGGAGAGAGAAAGGGACAGAGAAGGAAGCTTGTACACGACGATAAGGGAACACTAAAACACACAGGGCGACAAACGAGGCAAAGTAGGAGACGCACAGACAGGCAGAGAGAGGAAACGCGCACAAAAAACTCAACAAGCAGCAACATACGCGAGGGAGGGTGATGGAGAGAAAGGCGAAATGAAACATGTAGAGCACAAAGAACGAATACAACTAACAGCAGGAAGCAACCAAGACAGAAAAGGAAGGACGAAAGAGAGGGCTACTGATTCTTACTGCAGGCAGCAGCCCTGAAGATTCTTAGAAAAGATCAAGAACAGCGGGAGGCCTTCAAGGCGAAGAAACGAGCTGCAAAAGAGAAGCGCCTACGAGAGCAGGATGCTGCATTTGAGGCGGGCAAGAGGGCTATGGAGAAGGAATTGGTACCCTCTGACACGAGGGGTTAGGGCTTCGGAATTAGGGTAGAGGCCTATGGATCCAAAGTTTGGGGTGTAGGGTGTCAGGGAACGGGTTGCGTGCCTGATGCTCAAGCAATATATGTGTTTGCTGCTTCTTAGGAAGAGGAGGCGCAGCACAAGAGAGAAACTGCTGCAGCAATCCGCCAGCGCGAGCGTGAGTGGATAAGAGAGAGGAGACAGCAGAGTGTTGGCTGTTGCATACAACAGGATGCCAGTGGGGACGCTATGCAGGCCTAGTTCTGAGGCGGCGATCTGCTGCAGCAAATGCTGCAGCTGCAGCATTTGCTGCAGGAGCTGCTGCAGCAAATGCTGTTGCTGCTTTATCACGTGCTGCTGCTGTTGCTCCAATAGCAGAATTGTTTGCTATCTAAGCGGCTACTCCAGCAGATCTGCCTGCAGCTCACCACAAGCCGCAGCAGCAGCAGATACTGCTGCTGCAACATTCTAACAGCACGTATCTACGCTTGTTCTAGAAGACACTCATGGCGCACTGACAGACTGCTCGATCCCACAAAAGTGCTAAGGGTTAAGGGCTTTGATTTTGGGGTTTAGGTGTACCCACAGGTGAGCCGTATTTTTAAATGATTTGACGTAAATGAAGTAAATGCAGCGAAGAAAAGATACAAGAAGCGACAGAATGACTAGACGACGTGGGAAACGATCCCTCTACCCCTCGCATTCTAGGCGAGCACTCTACCATTTGATCTAGACGCCCGTTGGGGGCCACCAGACCCCCACGACAAAGAAAAAACACCCCGCTGCAGAGCTACGGATGCTGCCTGCATTGAAGGTAGCCAACTATAAACTGCGTATGTAAATGCATGCATACGCACGTATGTACATATCGATGCATGAATTGATACGCATATACTTCCAAAGCTATAGGTACACTTTTATGTATGAAAGGGAAGTAAGTATAAGCTTAGTGGTATATGCTCATAGGTAAGTACAGGAGCACAGACAGCATCGCTGAGTCTGTGCTTTGCAATGCCCCTTGTATATATACTAACGAACGACAACTGAGTCCTGCATGTACAGCTTCTACTAACCCAGTGCGCGTCAGGGCATCCATCGACTGCAACAATATGTATGACTTTTAGTGGACTATTTGAGTGGAACAAGATGGGGTGAGAAGAAAGGACGATGTGGGTTGCTTCCAGCTCTTTCAGAACGAACATAAGCATAGTAAGTTCGTTGTAAAGGCGTAGGGAACAAGGGATCAAGGGGCATCACTTTGTGTTTGAAGAAGGGGGGAGGGTTGTGCTGCATACGACCACTAAGCGGACTTAGCAGTGTGGAGGCTACTGACGGTAGATGAACACAGGGTAGTTCGCATCATGGTTGGTGTGAGGGGTCACCTTTGAGTCGGGGTTCCGTCGTGTGAGAAGAGTGATGCGTGATGGCATGTTGTGTTTGGCGCGTTGACTGAGGACGTTTGGGATGAAGCAGTGAAGCGTTCAGGCCTTCTGCTGGACGTCAAGCGTCTCTTGTCTGGCGCTTCGCGTCTCTTTTTGTTTCGAGGACAGTTGACCTTGTGATCGTGGATACTTCACCTGTGCGACAGGGAAGTCTGTTGATTGCAAGGATGGTCGGGAGCATATCAGTGTTCTGGGGTACGTGTTCTGGGGTACAGTACGTCTGGTTTGGGCATTACTGATATCCCTACAGAGGCTGAGTTTGGATGAAGGGCAAATTGTGGGTGTTGTGTTGGTGTGTTCTGCGGAGGGCTAGGAGAACGAAGCGTTGTGCGCTATGAGTGCTCTGTGATATGTGCTGTTTAAAGCATAGACTACAGGGTATCTTGGGCGCTAGGCGGACATGGTTCGTTGCCTAACGACATTAAATTGGATGTCAGTGTCAATTAATGTTAGCAAATATATGATAACGTTAATGACAGACGACGCAATTTTCGTCCAGTGGTATTGCGAGCCATGATATAGCTTTGTGGCGGTGAAAGTGCCATTAGAATGATATTTGATGCATACGTTTTACATACTCATGTAGATCGTATAGTCAAATATCGGTGTCAGTCGTTTTCAACCTGATGTGCATTGTCATTAAGGGATTCCCTTTCGACGTTACAGGGGGAGGAAAACGAGATTATGTTGTTGTTTAGTCTGCTTACCAAGATTATACACGAACTGCTCAATATGTCACACTACGAATATGTGACGTTGGTCTGTAAATCAATCGTCACAGTCTGTAGGTGAATAATATGAGTAGGGAGTGTATATGTTGGATATATTGACGACGATAGCAACCTGGTTGATCCTGCCAGTAGTCATATGCTTGTCTCAAAGATTAAGCCATGCATGTCTAAGTATAAACTTTATAT